CACTACATTAGCTTCTACTCTGCAAACCAAGAAGAAGCGACCTGTTAAGGGAAAGGAGAAGGTGAACCCGAAAGGGAAGGCATACATTACTAGAACAGTGAAACCTGGTGCATATGTTGATGTTTTCCCTTCTGGGTTGAAACCATACATTAAGTTTGTCAAGGATGTAGCTGCAGATGGGAATTGTGGTTTCAGGGCTATAGCTGCTTCAATTGGTCATACAGAAGATGATTGGGCTCAGGTTAGGCGTGACCTATTGAGGATGTATCTTGCTTGTGAGAGGAGTGGCCAATATAGAGCAACAAAGAAGTTAAAACATGATGGCAACAATACATCAAGAATAACCGGTACGAAGAAGTGTGGTTGTCCTTTTGATATGAGGGCTCACAGGTTTACCACATATGATGAATGGACATTGACTGTAGTATGCGGATTGCATAATCATCCACCTGCGGAGCACCTCGAGGGACATTCATATGCGGGGAGGCTATCCAAGGATGAGAAAGCATTGTTAATGGATATGTCAAAGAGCATGGTTCGGCCAAAAGAAATTCTAGTAACCTTGAAACAGTGAGATGCCTTCAATGTAAGCACACTTAAAACCATTTACAATGTACGCCATCGAAACAGGGTGGTACAGAGAACTGAAAGATCACAGATACAACACTTATTGGGTGAATTGGCCAAGTATAATTACATTGAGCGCCATTGGTCTGAAGAGTTCACGATGACTGTGACAGACTTGTTTTGGGCACATCCTACCAGTTTGGACTTATTTCGGTCTTTCCCATGTATATTAATTATGGATTGCACATATAAAACCAACAGATATCGTCTTCTTCTTCTTAAAATTGTGGGAGTGACATCAACTGAAATGACTTTCTCTGTAGCTTTCGCATACTTACAGTATGAGAGGGTTGATAACTATGTGTGGGTGTTAGCTACATTGCGTGATGTCAAGGATGGTTTTGTTGTGCCAACAATTATTGTTACTAACAGAGAGCTAGCCTTGATGAATGCCATACAGAAGATATTCCTGAGTGGCAGACATTTATTATGTCGTTGGCATATCAGTAAGAATGTATTGATCAAATGCAAGAAAATGTTTGAGACACGGCAGAAATGGGAGAAGTTCAACCATGAGTGGAACTCTTTAGTGTATTCATCTTCTGAAATTCAATACGATGAGCGTCTTAAATCATTACTTAAGGAATTCAGTAGTTATCCTGATGCAATCAAATACGTCATGGATACTTGGTTGGTTCCTTACAAGGAGAAATTTGTGGCGGCATGGACAGACACGTGTACACATTGTGGCAATGTTACAACGAACCGGTAAGATTAGTTTTGTTCAATATGTTATTAATAAGTGCCATGCACTTGATTTTAATTTGACTTACATTGAATTGAACAGGGCCGAGAGTGCACATACAAAACTTAAAAGACAATTGGGTTCATGTCAAGTCTCATTTCAGGCATCATTTGAGAAAATACACAGTCTGCTTGAGTTGCAACACACTGATATCAAGGCTTCATTGAGAAAAGTCTAATTGTTGTGCAACATCAATTTAAACTTTCTCAGTTCAGGGAGCTACGGGGTAATGTGTCTATCTCTGCATTGGAGTATTTGCTTGTACAGAGTAAGAGAGCCAATTTCATTCCTATTGATGTTGAAGCTTGTAGATGCGTCTTTCGCCACACTCATGGTTTACCTTGTGCCCATGAGATTGCTGACTACATCAGACAAGATCGTCCTATACCACTTGCTACCATACACTCACAGTGGAGGCAACTTCATATCTCCATGTGCAAGGAAGAAGTGGAAACGGAGGTGAGTTGTCATGGAGAAGTAGAGTTGTTTGTGAACAAGTTTGCTGAAAGTGATAGAACCATGCGGTTGGAGCTTTTGAAGAAGTTGAAAGAGATTGTATATCCGGGAAACACTTTTCTTGTTGAGCTGAAGGTGAAGCCCAAAATACGTCCTCGGGATCATAAGAAGATCAATGTTTCTACCCGTCGTGACCCGTGTGCATTTGAGTTGGTGCAATCTGGACATGATTCCTTCTCACCTAGGGACACTCAAATCACTACATTAGCTTCTACTCTGGAAACCAAGAAGAAGCGACCTGTTAAGGGAAAGGAAAAGGTGAATGCGAAAGGGAAGGTATACATTACTAGAACAGTGAAACCTGGTGCATATGTTGATGCTTTCCCTTCTGGGTTGAAACCATACATTAAGTTTGTCAAGGATGTAGCTGCAGATGGGAATTGTGGTTTCAGGGCTATAGCTGCTTCAATTGGTCATACAGAAGATGATTGGGCTCAGGTTAGGCGTGATCTGTTGGGTAAGCTGCACACACACAAAGATGAATACATTACACTTTATGGGTTCTATGAAAAGTTTGAAGAATTGACAAGCATATTGTCATACTTTGAAGACAGTCCTGGATACTTACATTGGATGACTATGCCAAATATGGGGCATCTTGTTGCATCATGCTACAATCTTGTGTTATACCACTTGTCATTACAGCAATGTCTCACATTTTTACCTCTTAGAACAGTGCCAGTACCTCAACTTGATAGACGTGAGATTGCCATTGGGTTTGTCAACGGAAATCATTTCATCCAAGTATAACAGAAACTTATAAATTTGTGCATGTAGAAGAAGTTATGAGGTATGACCACTAACTCAATTGATATTTGGTGCAGGTTTTGTTGCAGCCAGGCCATCCAGTTCCTCCTATAGCCACTAGTTGGCGAAAATACCGTCACCCTTGCGCTGTCAACTGGGATGATGCATATGTGCGTCGCATTCAACATTTCAAGGGCATTATTCATGATAATGTAGCTACTCGAGAGACATTTGATGTTGTTGATGTCGCATGACACATGTATGCATTTGACAATGTTAGAATTATGGAAGAAATTAATGGATGTGTTTTTGATGTTGATGTGTTCTGTGACATGGATTGAATGTTATCGACCATTGTTACCATTCTATTGTAATAAAGGTTTGAAGAATTATTACCATTCCATTGCAATAAGAAAATATCATTTACAAAATCAACGACCATCGATACCATTCCATTCTAATAATAAAATGTTATTTTCAATGGTATCAACCATTGTTGCCATTCCATTCTAATAAGAAAATATTAACCACTGTTACCATTACAACAATATCATTTTACAACAAACACCACAAAAAATTCATCGACTAACAAATAACATGTCACGAATCAGCTATATACCTACGCCTAGGCCTACAACTGTATGTCAATATCGGAGATGGAAAGTGACCTCCAGTATAACTAGGTCCAGCTTCGTCAATGTGCTGACCTTGAAGGACATGTGTCATACTCTCGATAGCCTGGTAAAGTTGATGAGAATGTCGAATTCCCTCCTTATAACCAACGTCAATAATAGGATGTGAAATCTGCAGTGCATGTGCAATACGCTGCATTTGAAAAGAATATCACATTTTAGGGAACATATCAGAAAATAAAAAGTAAGTTACAAATGCATAAAAGAGGATATTATATTACATCGACATGTTGGCTGAAATCCTGATGGTCATGGACACGCGGTTCATCAGTGTGCTCAACATATAGATGCGTGATATTCTTATACCAATCCATGTAACCCGGTACACATTCCTAAAGGTGACGAACTGGTGTGCTCTTCCATTGCTCAGATAACACGTGGTTATCCCAAGCCTCCCAGATCCTATCCAAGTATCTATACATGACTGTATATCGTGCAGATATGTTGCCTCGAGCACCACGACTGGGAGCTAGAGGTGCATCTGGGATGGTTTGAACCTTGCCAAACTACCTCAAAACTCTATCTGGATGATAGGGTTCGATAACGTCTAAGCACTTTAAGCATCCATGGTAAAACGTAACCGGGTTACATGGATGTCGGTCTCTGCAGCTGTGGTATGGATCTCAAATAACCTGTAAATGTAAAGTGTTTTTTAATTAAAGTATATAAAGGGTAAGATGAATGGAAAGTGTTAAAATTATCTCAGGACGAGTAAACTTACATCAGTAGCTACCAAACTGTCAAGCTCGGCTCGAAAAGATTTCAAATGATCAATGGAGGAACCCGTCTCTCTTCTAGATGCCCAATGGTACACGTATGGCGTGTCTTCATTGTAGCCCATGTTCTGGTGAGGTCGGAATGCTTGGAAGTGCTCATAAATCCACGCCTCTAAAAGAGTCATATAACCACCCATCTGCTTAACCCCGGACCGGCTAGCATACCCCAACTGTCTGTATAAAAATGCTAATGCAGCAGCACTCCAGGCGTAAGTATGAATGGATCCCAAATCCATCAATAAGCCAAGGTAAACAACAGGAACCCTGCCGCCACTCTTGTCACTGAAGAGTGTACATCCCAACAGAAACAACAAATAAGCTCTAGCAGTGCACTGTATAGCCTCCTCGGGGTCTGAATCTGTGACACCAGCAAACTGACTTCGCAACCACTCAAGCCTGACTGAATTGCCACCAGCAGTAGAAACCTCTTCATGTGTTGCACGTTCAGTAATCCCCAAGCCATAAACCAATAGTGTAACTCCATGATGATCTGTCACATCTGGTACGCTGACTGATTTGCCTATAATAGGAAGGCCAAGAATAGTGCCAAATCATCCAGGGTCAAGGTCATCTCACCAACTGTCATGTGAAATGTGTTCGTCTCAGGTTGCCATCTCTCAACAAAACTGGAGATTAGAAGCTTGTTGACGAATCGATAAGTGCATCAAGCTAACTTTGACAGCCCAGATTGCTTAATAATGGCTTTGAATCTGTTGTTGTTGTCTACTGACCACCATGGCCATGCAAGGATCTTCGAAAAGTGATTATGACACTTTAGGGCCCTTGTTCCTATAACACAAATAATATCTCATTAGAAACTACCATACAACACACACAGAAAAAAAAAAAAAAAAAAAAAAAAAAAAAAAAAAAAAAAAACTTCATATACAAATGAATTTCACTTTTACTCAGGAATGTTTACCTCCCCGTGCCAAACAGCTGCAGCGACATGACTATTGAAACTCCGCAGAATTGATGGATTAGTCGGTCTACCTGGAAAAGCATGAGTAAGGTCCTCTTCCTGGACAGGAAGAGAATCAGGTAAAGAGGCATTCTCCACAGCAATGTCAGGCATATCATAACCTTGAACTCGTCTTTAGCTTTGGCTCCGACTTTGACTGGCACTGGGGATATCATATTCTACCGAAACTGGATCACGACCTCGACCACGACCTTGACCTCATCCTCGCCCACGCCCTCGTCCCCGTTCATGGTCTAAATCCAATTCACGACCTCGTCTATTTGAAGCAGTAGGTGGGACACGTTGTTGACATTCAGAATCCATATTATCTGCAAAAAATAATATGTTTAATGACTATACAATTGAAACAAGGGAGCTTTTATTTGTACACACTCATTCCCCTCTTTACACATCTTTTTCACTTGGTTCAGAAGTAGCATTTTGAAAATAAACAACTTGTTCGGAAGTAGAGTTTAGGATTTTTATTTTTTATTTTTTTGACATTCAACTTCCGAATATGTTTATTTAATGTCTATAATAGTACTTTCACTTGAAAATAAAATTATAATAAAAATAATTTTTATTAAGTGTGTGTAAAGACCGCAAAAAATGGGGATGTGGAAATAGAAGCTCCCTTCAAACAAGAATATACAAAAGAAGGGGGGGAAAGAAAAAAAAAAAAAAACCTGTACCTGTTCGGAAGTTCACAACCGAAACTACATATTCTGTTCGGAAGTTGAAAACCGAAACACAAACTTAATTTCGGAAGTTGAGTGTTGTCCAAATTCAAAATTTTCGAAAGTTGACTATCGAAACAATGAAAAAATTTCGGAAATCTACAGTTGAAATTAATGATTATTTTCGGATTTCTACATCCGAACAAATTGCTATCTTTCGGAAAACCAGTTCCGAACGACTTGTTCGTTTTGAAAATGGTTTAATACAAAACTCTACATTACAAATGAAAAAATAATCATTAATTTCGACAGAACATGGGGTATGCTAGCCGTTGGGAGCTATTTGGCAAATGAAAAAAATTAAAGATTGGTGAAAAAAGTTACCCCAACTGTGTGAAGCAGGGAGCTATTTGCACCGTTGGAAGAACAATGTGAGAGATGCAACGCAGCTTCAATGGGTGTATTTGCACCGTTGGGAGAGCAATGTGAGAGATGCAGCTTCAATGGTTCTGCACCGTTGGGAGAGCAATGTGAGAGATGCAGCTTCAATGGTTCTGCACCGTTGGAAGAGCTGGGTTTGAGGGTCTGGGTGTGTGTGTGTGTGTGTGTGTGTGTGTGTGTGTGTGTGTGTGTGTGTGTGTGAGGGTAGATGTGGAATCAAATGTGTGTGCAGTGAGTAAAAGAATTAGGAATTAATTTTTTTGGCGTGCGTAGAGAGAAGGATGTGCAAAGAGGGGATTTGGTGTGTGTAAATAGAAGCTCCCGTTTGAAATGATGTTTGAGGTTGAAATGACAAATTTGCCCTTAACCTTATTTTTTCCAAAATTGATCTACAGGGACAAAATGGTCATTTAACTGCTTGTGGGGATGACAGTGGTAGCCTCATCCTACACTGTATTGGTGACAGTGTAGGTTGACAACCACTGTTTTTTTTATTTAATTTTTAAAATCAATGGGTTAATGCGCCTAAAAGGCTTTTTTTATATTTGAGGTTAAAATAGCCTGTAGCCACGGTTCCCAAACATCGCCAATATAAAATTGTGAGTTCAGCAGAGAATTACATAGCAATATTATCAAAGCTACATAATGAAGGAATAACTTTTCAACCTGATAATGGATTTGGACTACTTCCAATAACTTCTGCAAGTGTTAAAAATTTTAACCATTCAATGTGTTAAGAAAATTTCATGTTCGGGCATGTATTTCCAAACTTGGAAAAAATGAAAACTTCTGCAAGAGTTAACAATTTTGACCGTTTAATGTGTTAAGAAATTTTCATGTTCGGACCTACATTTCTGAACATTACTTATTTGTTCGGATTTGTTCGGGAATGCCTTCCTGAACAAATAAGTAAAGTTCGGGCCTATATTCCCGAACTTGAAAAAATGAAAACTTTTGCAAGCGTTAACAATTTTGATTGTTCAATGTGTTTAGAAATTTTCATGTTCGGACCTGCATTCCCGAACATTACGTATTGGTTTGGAAATGCCTTCTCGAACAAATAAACAATGTTCGACCCTGTGTTCTCGAATTTCGATTATATGTTTAGGAGTTTAGTTTCGAAAAAATGACGAACATATTTTATTATTTTTGCCATACAAGGCCAATCTCCTCTGAGTTAAAAACAACATCAAAGCTATGAACCTCCTTTAAATTTTTATTTTTGTACTCTTCTTATGTTATAGAGTTGTGGTCACCAGAAAAACTTTCACTTATTGTCATTATCGGAGAAGTGTAGGTAGTCAAATGGTTGCCACTGTTACCGCCGGAATATTGCCGTCAAAGGGTTTTCAATATTTTGAGGGTGGGTACGTTTTGAAGATGGGATTTGGGGAAGATGGATGGGTGGTGATGGAGGTGGGTGCTCTCATAAAACCTAATTCATGATGTAGTGGGTGTGTAAGTTTAATTGTGAGATGTGATGTCCCAAAATTAAGGGGTACTTATGTGTAGGTCCTAATAAGTGGATTTATTGTCTAATAGGTTCTATGAGAAAAATTTGTCATAAAAAAAGTCATTAATTGTAAGTTTTAGCGATAATTTATAAAAATCATGACAAAATTAATTATCAATTTTTAGTGACATATATGAAAAATTGTCATAAAAAAATTATTTTTACTGACAATTTTACCAAGACTTATTTTTAAT